CGCTGCCAGCACCGGCCAAAGTGAAGGGCCCGCGCCACGGTCAGGGCGTGAGACCGGCAACAAACACAGTCCAAACTGACGGCCGAGATGAAAGAACGCAGAGGCTGAATGCCAGCATTGGATTGACGCCGAGCTGTGTGTCTCGGAGCGCAGCGGTGACTTGAGTGTTTTGAACAAACTCCATGCCAAGCTAATCGTATATATGTCTTTGGTTTTCAAGACCTTAATAACCAGTCTTTTAATTCCTGGTGATACCTACTTTGGTACATATGATTTCATCGCAAGAAATACACCCAGGATCATATTTAGAAAGTAGTTTCGAGATTGTAGGATTATCTCAGCCCAGACACTTAACATCTCTCGGACACGATTTCCGGCTATATCGGAGAAGATTGGCTTAGCGATAAGATTAACCAAGCAGACTTGCCGCCTAACATGGGGCAGTCGTGAAAAGTGCCACTAAGGTATTCTACATAGAAACATCGCTAGCGAATAAGCATAGCCTCTCTGCTTGCTTCATTTGTCTTTTCAGTTCTGGGAACGTGTCCCTCAGAGGCCGTTGGCACAGCCGCCGTCTCCTAATCCCGTCCGTTTATTATTCACCTCATCCTTTAGTTGCCAGTGCCCCATGAACCGCCGCAGGGCTGCCATAGCCACGGCAGCTACTGATACTGATAGTAACATGTCAGGCGGACAAAACGACCATGGACCGAGTCACAGGCTACGGATTGTGAAAAGAGGAATAACCAAGATAAATATGGATTCCAGTCCAAACCACTCGAAGTGGTTCGAAATAGCTGTCTCATCGACATTCACACCGAATGCCAGTTGGTAAGCAGTAAGTTTGGGCTTATTGTGGAGGGTTCGGATATAACAAAGTGCTGCGGTTCTGTTCTCTCCAAAAAGTAAAGAGTCGCGTAAACTCAGTAAGGATCACACCCGTTCCTAATTATCATAGAGAGTCGGGCTGACTCCTGAGTCACTGAGAGTCACCGGAGATCCCTACAAAGACTCGAGAGGCCACGGAGAGCTGCGGCGCCGGCCGGGAGAGGTGTAACGGTGTCTCTCTCCCGCGCCGCGCCGGCTCAGCTGCCGCCCCAAGGTCGACCGGTTAACTTTCGTTTTTTGTACAGTCGCACCCGCGCCGCTCCTCTGGACGGTGCCGGGCGGCCGGGCTGCGTCGGGCGGCCCCCTCCCGCCGCCGCCGCGGGCGCAGACGGCTTCCGGCCGCCGCCCACGCAGACAGCTCGATGACGTGCCAAGGGGTGGTTCCGGGTCATCAGACAGCTCGACACGCTCGCGGACAGATCACGGCCACCGTGAGTTACCGCTGACGCGCGCGCTACTCCAGAAGGTCATGGAAAGTGACGGCTGATGAATGCTGGAGATCATGTGAACTCAGTCCGAATCTGATGGGAGATCAGCGTCAAGTCGCCGCCACCGATCGAACTGCGCAGTGACTGGACGCTGACTGGTTGAAAGACTGTACCTATCCCTTGCGACTAAGGTGCCGCCGATGCCAACGCAGTTCCAAAGAATCGTCACCACTCATGACACCGCCATGCATCGATAGCTCTGGAAATTCGCTGACTCCGTTGTCCAGGTTGCGGGACGACCGACCAGTCGGTATCTCAGTTCCGGTCCTCTGCGCTGGAATGTCAGCTAAAACGGCAACTCATCATCCGATGATTCATCCCGAGCAAGGGCACATGCATGTGATTTTAGTTGCAGCTTGCGTTGACCACTTGCCTCAAACTCGGGAAGTAGAAGAACGCGTTCTGTCAACAGAATTCCCGATGTGTTTGGCTGAACTGGGGGCCGTTGATCGTGTTTGCTCCGGACAAACACAGCGTTGTTTGTCATCCACAAACCGCCTCTCATGCTCCGCCATCTGATACCGCCCTGAGAACATCCTGGACCAGTTCAGGAGGTGCGCAGCTCCGTCCGGCTCGGGCGGGACCACACCCTGCCCTCCGGTGGCCGTCCGGTCCAGTGACAGCTCCCGGCCTTGGCGGCCCGGTCGGCCGGACGGAGGGGCGAGGTCCTGGGACGGGTGAGGCGCCCCCAACACGGGCGAGGTCCGATGGTCAGCAGTGGCGCGGCAGAGGGAGCCGCCCTATCCGGACGGGAAACCCGACACACTCGCCTTGGCTGGAGACTGAACCTCACGTGTTTCTGAGGTAAATGAAAGTGCTATCTGCATTGTGCATCGGGGCGTGAGCACGGGATTCGTTGTGTCACTCGATACGATAAAGGCATTGTTATTGGATAAAACCCAGCGCAGCACACAGTTTGGCAAAGAGTTGAACAAAGGAATCCTTTATCTGCATGAAAGCAAAAGTAGACTTATCGGGGTCAGAAGTAGTTCGTTAAATCCGGCTGTCGCTCCACTGATCTACCCTCAAACCCAGCATATATTTCAGCGAATACTTTCTCGCTAAATTGATTACCTGTCGGTGCATCGTAAATGCTGAAAGCTGAAAATGTCCGCTTTTACATTTATTATCTGATCAATATCAACACTCCAAAAGACAACAGCCAGATGAAATTATGCATGAAGAGATTCTTGACATCAAAAGGTAACACTCAACGAAGAGCCATCAAACCATGAAGTGTACGCATCTTAATTCACATCCGTCAATGTCGGCATCTTCCGGGTTTGTTTGCATATAAAGAGACCACCAAACTCATCATTTACAAGGCCAACAGCCGTTTCGACCGCCACGCCATTAGGACGGTGTCCATCTCGCCAGGAGGGCCGGTCTCCAGGAAACCGGCGACGTGCGCGCCGCGTCCGGCGGCCACAAAAACCGGGCTCTGTCCTTGGTCGGGAGTGGCGCAGCTGGGGACCACGCCCTGCGGTCGGTCGGAGCCGGGACGGGCCGGGGCGGGCCGGGGCGGGGTGCTCCAAGGCCTGCCGCCGCCGCCGGCTGCCCGGGATGGTACCGCCAGCCCCCCGCCCGAGACGCTCCAGTAACGCCGCCGCTTTGGGCAGAGGGCCGCTCTAATCAGGGTGGTATTGTTCCAGCTGTTGACTGAAAGTGGTCGGTATTGTTTGATTCTGTGTGAAGGGATCGTCGTTGATTGAGCGAAAGGCGTAAATCTGTTGTCCTTCAAAACAAGCACAATGAGTGCATGGTATTTATGAAAAAATCAACGTATAAGAACTGTTTAGCAGACTTGATATCAGATTGCAAACTTCCAGGTGTGCAATTGCTTCAGACTTCAGAGCATAAAGTTCGGAAGATCTTATATAATCGCTAGGTGGGACAGCACTGACAATGGCACCGAAAACCACGTGGAACTATTTTCCCGATCAAACAAACATACCAACTGCTGGGCTGCTCAGCACTCACGCTGTCAAGCTTTAACCCGCGCACCGACGGGGGGGGGGCGGATATCCGCCCCCCTGAGGTTTTTCGCGAATAGCGGGAAAACCGCGGCGCGTAGCGCCGCGAAATTTGGTATGACTACTCCCTTATCAATTTTACACATGGTGTGCAAGTTTGAACCTCCTACCTTTCAAGGTCAGGTCACCAGGTCACTTTGAATGACCCAACCTCAAGTCACTTTTTTGCAACTTTGTCACCGTGCCAGAGCTACAGTAGATGTCGGAGGCCTTTGAAAGTCGCAGGATGTTATAAGGTCATTAGTAGCTACAATTTGTATATCTCGGAATTTTGATATCGGTGACCTAAGGTCAGGTCAATTTCGCGACCTCCCCATTATAAGTCAATGGGGGAAAAATCAACTCCCTGTTTTTACCACTAAAACGGGTCGGAATGGCCCCATATACCATACATGACTTCATATACGATCAACCTTCACTACCTTGAGGTCTGTTTTGCTGTTGGGCAGCTGTGAGGTCATGTGACGTCATCAAAGGTCACCAAAGGTTTTTGGCCAATAACTCCGTACAGGAACAAGATACAGACGCGTGGATGGTCTCATTGTGTTCAGCTCGTCAAGACGCATCGAATGATATACATGATGACCTCGAGGTCACGTGACCTGAGGTCAACCTTTGACCTTGACCTTTCGAGGTCAACATATATATCATTCGATGCGGATTGACGAGAGGATCACGATGATGCCCTTAGTTTGTTCCTATCTTGACTAATTCGAAAGTTATTCGAGAAAGACTCTCTCCATATTTAGCGCCGCCATTTTGACTTTTTCGACCCCTGTGACGTCATCTTTGACCTGACCTGAAAATGACCTTAGTAAAAATTGTAGATCATGACCGTGCGTATCCGATGCCGTTTACCGCTTGTCGCTATCTTGCTTCGTTCTCGAGATCTCAGGGGGGGGCGGTCATCCGCCCCCCCCCCGTCGGTACTAAGTTGGCGCAGACCCCCGTCGGTGCGCGGGTTAAATAGCCCCTGCTGCCGCATGAGCAAGTCAATTTTTTTCATAGCTTGTCACGCGATGTCACGGGTAACTACCATCATATCGTGAACACCCGAGGACGGCTCGGATAACCAGCACACTAAAAGACACCGACGCAAACTTTGCAGGTTACACCAAAGTACCTACGAACCGCAGATTTTCCTTAGGAAACTAAATTGCTCGCTTCTGAAGTTCTGAGGTGCAGAACATGAAGCGCTGAAACCTTTGCATGTTCAACTGCACGCAATCGATCCGATTTAGTTCAACGAAATTATGCATTGGCGTGCTGAACAATTCTGCTCCATAAGTGGCACATGTGCTAGGGCAATGCCAATGACTTCATATCCTTCTGAGAATATTTCGAGCTGGTATCCTTCAGCTTCACTCACTACTTATTCACAAGCTGAGGTGACGCATTAGCCGCCATGCTGTTCCTGATTACATCAGTGTTACCGTCTTGTGCTGTAATGCAGTTTCCAGCCATTTTAGTGTTACCTTCTTTTGCTGCGTTGCAGTTCCCACGAGTCCTGGTGCTACGTTTCACTGAGTTATTGCAGTCTCCGTAGCGCCCTGCTGTGCGTGTATTAATATACCCTTTCTTCTGTCACCAGGCCTGGACAAGACATGGCGGGTGCAGCTTCCGGACCTGGAGAAGGTCGCCTGGGTATGGTGCATCTTCTTCTGCTTCATGGTACCCGAGGCCGGCACTCTGTTTCGCTCCACCAGGATGTGCTTCTTCAAGGTCAGCCACTTTCTCGGAAGACGACCGGTCCTCCCCCATCCCGGGCCGGCCGAGCGAGGGAGGCCCCAGAACGGGTTGGGATGGAATGGGAGCGGGAATAAGAAATGGAGCGGGACAGGGCTGGGGCATGTCTTTGTGAGATGGGACAGGGATGAGACAGGGTTCTAAGATGGGACTGCCACAATATAGGGACCTATGAAGTGATATGTGACTGGATTATGAAGGAAAAGGATAAACGAGATGAAGAAACAAAGGAATAGAATGAAACAGAGTGATGTACCATAATGTTCTTAGGGAGGGAGGGTATGTGATGCGGTATGGACGAAAAGAGACAGTGAAAGCATAAAAGAGGGATTTGTACAAAGGAACGGGACACAGGCTGGTTCGGGCGGGACCGAGATAAGACGGGGAAAGGCGGCAGTGTCACCGCGGGCAGCGATCTTGAGCCGTCGTTAAGCGCCGCTGAGAGCACTCACTGCTTATCTGATCGTCGGGCAATGACCAAACAGTGCTGAGTTTTTCCCGTTACGTAATCATTGGATGGTGAGTGCCGATAGGAATCGTGTGATTGGTGATCATGTAGGGGTGACGGCGAGCCTAGCATACAGACAAAGAGAGGGCATTAAGTCGTAATCCTTGATTCAATTTAAGTGCAAGATTTTGCTCAATCTAGATGCACATTCTAACCTTATAGTCTTCATCTTTTTTTACATGGCAGCGTTTAATTATTCTGAGGTCTCATGCCCGTGTTCCAACCGTCGAAACATTCCAATGCTATTGTCTCTCCTCCGTTGCTGACGGTCCCATGTCCCTCCCGACAGTCGGTGCGCCGTCCCGGGTTCCGCGACTTCCTCGTCGTGGTGATGTTCGAGACCCTACACATCATCGGCCTGGCGCTGCTCGTCTTCTTCGTGCTGCCGGACCTGGACGCCGTCAAGGGCGTCATGCTCACCAACTGCGTCTGTATCGTGCCCGGAATATTCGGTACGTGAGCTGGCGCGGAGCTTTGGAATGTTTGATACGCTGAGGCAGAGAGGAGAAGGGAAGAGGAAGGGGAAGGGAGGAAGGAAGGGAGGAGACTTACTAGAGAGCCGATTTCTTGAGCGTATTTACCAAGTGTCAACATGCTCAAGGTATCGATCAACTTCCAGTTCCGTCTTTGCTCGCGTTTAATTCCTGGCGACCCAACCATGCGTTGGGAGTAAAACGTTTTTTTTTTTACGAATTCCAACGGGCGGTCTGGCGGACAATGTTGTACCGTAGCTTTATTGAGGGTTATGATGCGATTCTTATTTTAACAAAGCGTAGCGAGCTAAAACTTACAATGCCACACTGCCACAATAATCCCAACGCTGTATCAAACAATCAGTAAAAAGCAACAGTAGTATGCGAACAATGGCGGATGTAAGTACATAATGCATAATAAGCAATTGTAACTATCTAACTATACAATCATCTAATCGTTGTTTGGCAAGTTTTTGCCCCCTTGTGACATCCAACATCACTTAGCCTCTGAAGCGGCCTCCAATTTATCCAGCCGTTATCAGCGAAACAAAACACCCTAACCGGCCCCTACTCCCTCAGGCATGCTGTCGCGCACCAACAAGGAGTCGAAACGCTTCTTGAAGACGGTGTGCGATATCGCGGCCATCTTGGGCCAGGCCACCGGCTTTATCGTGTGGCCCATTATCGAGTACCAGCGCGGAAACGTCAACGCCTGCTGGTCCATCCCTCTGGCGGTGGTGCTGACGTCTTTCGGCTGGTGGGAGAACTACGTCGATAAGAAGTCGCGCGTCAGTAAGTAACAACGCCCAGCTCACCTCTGGACGACAGGAAGGCCGTAAAGCGAACATTATAAAACCTTCGCTTGGGTTGACTCTTATTTTTCTTCTGGGTAAATAATAAATGTTGAACGAACACGTCTTGAGACAAAAAGCAAGGCCAATGACTCATGCCTCACACACAATGGCGAAAAAGCACATCAGTTCGTTGCATCAATGGTTTTCGAGAGTTCATCTAAACATCTAATTGATTCGATGATGCAAAACCTGTGCACAGCCACCTCACATTTTTCCACATCGATCCCAGGCGAGGATCGCTGACGGGAACCGGTCTTTGCGGGACACTAATGCTCTCCCAAGGTGATCCCGCCCGCCAGCATCTCGACACGCTATGTATCACTCATTTGGGTGTGTGATGAGATCTGGTTCTTTTGCTATCAGATATGTTAGCAAGAAGCACCGCTATGGAATGAGATGTGCTCGTCTTATTTCACTATGCTTATGCAGCGTCTTGCATCTCGAAGCTGCAACAGTTTTAGCGAAATTAATCCGCAGACAATTCAAAATCCATCCGAATGGTCATCTAATGCTGAATTGGCATCGGAATGATCTTAGATGTGTATTGTGCAAATCACCTGACACTTGATTCCTAGCTTTTCCAATGGAAAAGCTTAGTGGGCTAATAAAAAATATAACCCCGCAATAATTGGTAACTGTAACGGTCTGACTTTTCCGCTCCACAGAGGCCATCCAGTATCTGGGAACCATTAAGGAGCGGATGAAGACGACACGCTACTTCACCTACCTGTTCGTGTCTCTGTGGAAGATCATGGTGTTCTTTGCCTGCATGGTGCTCTTCATGTACTTCCGTCTGGAGAACGTCGGCGACCTCTTCTCGAGGTTCACGGACAGCTTCGACCAGCACAAGCTGTTCGTCAACGAGGTGGGTTCTCTTGCACTGGTTGCTCTCTTCATGGTATTGTGGAATCCCCATTGCACTGCGGAACCGATTGATGACGATGCTCACCAACCTGATGTGTCGTAAGCTGACGTTCACTTTCTTCGCAGACCGCTGGCGTCCCGATCGGAGCCGTCACCGACACGGCCGACTTCGCGCGCTTCCAGGACACCAAGACCATCCTCTCCGACGGCAACGCGCCCGTCTACGTGGCCCTGATCCAGATCTTGTGCGCCTACCTCGCCTACATCTTCGGTAGGTTGACAAAACACCAGGCCGAGATAGCCATCTTCTCACGCTGATAACAAAGCAATCCGTCTTAATTCTTGGTCTTGCTTCATGTTCTGCTAACGCCGTCTAATAACGCTTATTCACATCGACCCACAGGCAAGTTCGCCTGCAAGATCTGCATCCAGGGCTTCAGTTTCGCGTTCCCGGTGAACCTGACCATCCCGGTGACGCTGTCGCTGCTGTTGATGAGCTGCGGTCTGAGAGCCGGTGACTCGTGCTTCATGCGCGACACCATCCCCAGCTACCTGTTCTTCGAGTGCCCGTCTGGAGACTACATCAAGGACTTCATCGCTGGAGAGGTGAGCATCGAACTGAATCAGAAGAACGGTGGAATGGCTTTAGGAGTTACAGGAATGCTTATCTTCAATTTGCGCGCTTTCCCTTGCGCATGTTCCACTCAGAGGTTGCATTGGTACGCATCGACGGTCCTGGTTGAAGGCACTTGGCTAAGATAATTCCTTCTCCTTTTGCAGCACGTCTGGATCTGGGTGCTGTGGCTGTTTTCACAAACATGGATCACACTGCACATCTGGACTCCTCACTGCGAGCGTCTGGCGGCCACCGAGACGCTATTCGTGACACCCATGTACAACTCACTGCTGATCGACCAGTCGCTCTCGATGAACCGTCGCCAGGACGACGAGCCGGAGCGTCTCGACTCGGATACTCGCGTCATCGACCCAGACGATCCGGACAGCACCCAGCACTACGAGACCATCAGCATCCACACCGACTCATCGCAGACCGGTGGTGTCAAACCCTCGGACCACATCACCCGCATCCTGGCCTGCGCCACCATGTGGCACGAGACACGTGACGAGATGATGGAGATGCTCAAGTCGGTGCTGCGTCTCGATGAAGATCAGTCGGCCATGAAGGTCGCCCAGGAGTACCTCAAGGTGCGCGACAAGGACTACTACGAGTTCGAGACGCACATTTTCTTCGACGACGCGTTTGAGATGTCCGATGAGGACGAAGACGAGCAGGTGGCCAACCGGTTCGTCAAGCTGCTGGTCGAGTGTATCGACGAGGCGGCCTCCCACGTCCATCAGATCCCGATCAGACTGAGGCCCCCGGTGAAGACCCCGACTCCGTACGGCGGTCGGCTCACCTGGACCCTGCCCGGAAAGACCAAGATGATTGCTCACCTGAAGAACAAGATGTTGATCCGTCACAGGAAGCGCTGGAGCCAGGTGATGTACATGTACTACCTGCTCGGCTACAGGCTGATGGAGCTGGACATCTCTGTCGAGCGTAAGGAGATCATGGCCGACAACACCTACCTGCTGACTCTGGACGGAGACATCGACTTCCAGCCGAACGCTGTCAAGCTGCTGGTCGATCTGATGAAGAAAAACAGGAACCTGGGCGCTGCTTGTGGCCGTATCCACCCCGTCGGCTCCGGACCAATGGTGTGGTACCAGTTGTTCGAGTACGCTATCGGCCATTGGCTGCAGAAGGCCACCGAGCACATGATCGGCTGTGTGCTCTGTAGTCCTGGATGCTTCTCTCTGTTCCGCGCCAAGGGTCTGATGGACGACAACGTGATGAAGCGGTACACGCTGACTTCTCACCAGGCTCGCCATTACGTGCAGTACGATCAGGGAGAGGATCGTTGGCTGTGCACCCTGTTGCTGCAGCGAGGCTACCGTGTGGAATATTCGGCCGCCTCTGACGCCTACACTCATTGTCCTGAAGGCTTCAACGAGTTCTACAACCAGCGCCGTCGGTGGGTACCTTCCACCATTGCCAACATCATGGACTTGCTCATGGACTACAAGAACACGATCAAGATCAACGACAATATCTCGCTTCCCTACATCGGATACCAGGTGAGCAGCAAAAATGACATCCTTTCAGTTTCAGCTTTAAGCCCATTCTGTATTTTCAGCGATAGATTCAATCGTAGTGACAAAAGCTGAACACTGGATGTCCCGTACGATATGACAGTTTGATACAAGACCAGAGGCATTGTCTAACGTTCTGTTTTCGTGGCAGACGTTCCTGATGGCCGGTACGATTCTGGGACCTGGCACCATCTTCCTCATGTTGGTGGGAGCTTTTGTGGCCGCCTTCCGGATCGACAACTGGACCTCGTTCCAGTACAACGTCTACCCCATCATCGGATTCATGTTCGTCTGCTTCACGCTCAAGTCAAACATACAGGTGAGAGGGTTGCAGATCTATCTTACTGTTGATATGTCGCATTTACGAGTTAAATATAGCAATGAGATGACCGATCATGAGAATCGCATGGTCACTATTCAACTGTTGTCTGTCTCCATCTTCCCAGATGTGTCGCACTCTCTCCTCACCATCGTTGCCCTATCTATTTCAGCTTCTGGTGGCCCAGATCCTGTCTGCCGGCTATGCACTCATCATGATGGCCGTGATCGTCGGTCAGACGCTGCAGCTGTACGAGGACGGTCCCGGATCGCCCACGTTCATCTTCCTCATGGCCACAATCCTTTTCATGGTGATAGCGGCCATACTGCATCCGCAGGAGTTCAAGTGTATCATCCCCGGCTTCATCTACCTGCTCTCCATCCCGTCTATGTACCTGCTGCTTATCCTGTACTCGCTGATTAACCTCAACAACGTCACCTGGGGAACACGCGAGGTGCTCGCCAAGAAAACGAAAAAGGTACGTCCGCTTACGTTCGCTAAGATAAATTATGTTCTCAAAGTACCCGAGAGTATGTCAAAGGTGCCATTGCTACCGATATATGAGGAACGACCTATGAGAAATATCGAACTGTGCTACTTTTGTATCTCACCTTGCTTAATTTAAGGTATCTCCTAGCCTATAGCAGACCGCCATTTCACGGATGTTTTACATTCCTCAGAGTTGGCACTGGCTCGGCAGACTGTAGTCCGTATTTGATCAATCTGACGAAACTCATTCTTCGTCTTTTTTTTCAGGAGCTGGAGGAGGAGCGGAAGGCAGCTGAACAAGCCAAGAAGCGACCGGACGGCATCCTGGGCTACCTGTACAACACGCAGCCGGAAGACCTGGACGGTTCGATCGAGTTCAGCTTCGCCAACCTGTTCCGCATTATGTGCTGCACTTACCCCAAGCAGGTCAACGAGCGCGAACAGCTGAAGAGGATTGCCGACTCGCTGGATGCTCTCAACAGACGCATGGACCAGGTGGAAGGGTAAGTGTGTAGAATATAGCACTAAGGAGGAACACAACAACGTCACCACTCACCAGGAACAAAAAAAAGTTTGAAAAGTGTGTGCCTCATAGTCACAGAAGTTGAATGAACCGGAACTCCCTCACGCACCACCAACTGTCTAACCCATATTCATGAAGCTGTGCTACAACATCCACATCCCTGTATACGTATGTAACCTGTTGTATGGTATGTGGTGCTAACCAAGCATCGCTTTCGCAGTGGTCACCACCACCACGGACGTCGGCGCAGCTTCAGTCGCAGCTCGGCTCATGGCGGCATCAACACAGTGAAAGAGGACGATAGTGCTGTCTCCGAGAGCGACGAGTCCTCCAGCGAGACCTCAGGTCAGTGACGGTTTTGTATTCGTTAATACATATCCAGTCATTGACTGACAAGGCAATGTATCAAAGTTGCTTCGATACGCATGTTCAATCCTTATGCGCAGAGAATGACCGAACGTCACCCTTACAGGAGAGCCCAAGGAGAAGAGAGATCAGCTGAAGAACCCTCTCTGGATTGAGGACAAGGCACTCCGCAAGGGCAAGGTCGAGTTCTTGTCACCGAACGAGGTTCAATTCTGGCACGATCTTCTGGCCAAGTACCTGTTCCCCATCGATGAAGACAAGGCAGAGAAGGTCAGTGCTCTTATTTCGCGGTGCACTTCTTATGTTATTCAATGTCAAAATAACAACCTGTTTTGATTCGACGTGATCTAGAAAGTCAACCATTCAATCGTAACATTGTTCGTTGTTCAAACCGGTACACGAACACATTGCTGACACACTGTTCGCATTGTTGACACATGCCCGACCTTCCCGCAGGCCCGTATTGCCAACGACCTGGCCGAGCTGCGAAACCAGTCGGTGTTCATCTTCTTCATGTGCAACGCCCTCTACTGCCTGATCGTGTTCCTGCTGCAGCTGAACAAGGACAACCTGCACGTAAACTGGCCGCTCGGCGTCAAGTACAACATTACTCTGATCGAGGAGACCGGACAGGTGCGCGTCCATTATCTCAATATTCTTATTGTAGTGTCGCTTGTCCTCAAGGAACCTGCGTTTCACCATTACCGGCTACCTGTAAGAGCATATGTCTACGCTCTTACAACCGTTTCCAAAATTTAATTAAGTCATCATGCAATTCAATTAAATACCTAACTGTCGCGTTTCAGGCTCCCACGTCATTGTGCTTCAGAGTTCAGAGTGAGTGTCTTAGTGAAAATGTTACAAAAAACGAAGTACAATCTGCTGACCGTTCTACGTTTTTCGACAGGTTCTCATCAACAAGGAGTACCTCCAGATGGAGCCCATCGGTCTCGTGTTCGTGTTCTTCTTCGCACTGATCCTGGTCATCCAGTTCTTCGCCATGTTGTTCCATCGCTTTGGCACCCTGTCGCACATCATGTCGTCTTGCGAACTCAACACCTGCTGTCACAACGAGGTATGCATTACCATACAGCTTTAGCTTGCCAAATGTAAAAGACATTGTAACTAATGTACCTAATGCAATGCAATGCCAGAACCAGTATGTGCGACACACCGGCCGTCCGAACGAGCGACATCCCTGACACACACCCGATTCTGTCGCAGAAAACCGACTCGCCTGAGGAGATGCTGCGTAAGAACGCCGTGGAGATTGTGAAGAACATGCAGCGGCTACGAGACGATCGCGGCGACGCCGAGTCGGTGGAGGGCGAGAACCGGCTGGCGCGCCGCAGAACCATCCAGAACCTGGTCAACCAGCAGCAGCGGCGACAGCCCATCGGCACCCTGGACGTCGCCTTCCGGAAACGGTTCCAGCAGCTCAGCAACCAGACCAGCGAAGGTGCGTACCGCAGATGCACCGGCAAATGATACGCTGATGGATCCCTGATCTTGCTCGCATGTAAAGGTTAAAGCTACTCATGAAACATCAAGCATTCTTCGTTTATAGACATTTCTTTTCAGGCATTTGACATAGTGCGAGGCTAAGGTCGGTTAATCATCTAGGTAGTTTAGTTTCCCCGTGTATCAGTATGATAACGGAAACCGTTTGTTGCAGCAACTCCTATTCTGGGAAATATTCGAAGGGCAAGCTTGAGGGCTGACGCGCTGAAGGCTTTGGAACAGCGGAAGAACTCAGTAATGCAAGAAAAGCAAAAGAAGAAGATGGAAACCCTTGGTGTTGGAAACAAGTATAACAACCAGCCGAAGGTAAATATTGCCTGTTCTTTTATTGTTCTGTTGAGTAGGACCAGCGACGTTGCCGACGCTTAAATGATAAACATTTTTTAAGCGAACTACCACATGGGCTTCCCGTTTAGACACATTCATTTAGAGACATAATGCCCCGAACAAAATAAAAAGCACCGTGATTCAAGAGAAAGCGCCAGTAGGCATCTACCCTCATGCCGAGTCTGGTTCAATACCAGCGCGAGAGGCGGCTAAACAGCTTGAAAAAGACATCTGTCCCAAACGGAAATGATCTCTCGACCCTCGAGTCCCATGCTGACTAATGCTCTGTTCCGCAGCGTCACCGCATTTCGAACGTATCCGGCGTGGAGAGCCTGCAGGGCGCGTTCGCGCCGCCTAGCACCCGGCCCAACGGCAGCGTCAACGACGGCTACGAGAACAGCTCGGGCGACGAGGCGCCCACGCGCTCCGGCGGAGCCACCGGAGTCACCTGGCACGACCCCGAGATGGGCGGCCGCCGGTGAGACTGACCGTGCTGCCGCCTGGCGGCCGGCCAGCGCGGCTCGGCAGCGGGCGGCCGCCGCCAGATGGTGCAATCAGCGGCGCGGCCCGCTCGGTGCGGCGAGAGCCATGACATGGAATCCGGACGGCAGCTGCCGGGCGCGCGAACCGGGCCGAGCTTCATAGATTGAGAGCTGGCCACTGGCCGAGGTACAGGGCGAAGGTGGTGGCAAACTGTCCCGGCCCGAAGCCGCCGGCGCCGCGGATCCCATAACCTGTGATACGTGAATGTGTTCGAAGGTGGTGTGATGTCTGCTGCGAGGAGAGCGCCATTGTCTGAAATGTCATTGCGCAACTATTCTCCATGTGAAAAATTGATCTGCATGTTTCTTCCATGTAATTCCTGGCTATGTAGATATTGTGAAAAGATGCAGGGCATGCTCATTGTCAGAAACGCTTTTTTTAAGAACCTTTTTGACTGTTGTCAGAAAGAGACCATCTACGGTTCGTTTATTCGTAATATCTTCTATTGAAATGTCTTATTGTTATAGCCGAGACGATATTTATGCGAGAGAATATTGAGCATAGCCATCGACAAACCGTGCACCAGTTCTGACTCTGTACCAGTTTTATATTTCAACGAGCAGTCGGCAGGATCGACGGCAAAAATCGATTTTTTTTTTTAAGTCGGGACGCCCTGAGTAAATGCTTCTGAGCTTTACACGGAGAGGAATCTCATGGAGAATCTCTTGGTCAGGCTCGGCTGTCTTATCTCCTTGTAACTGATAGGCTAAGGCTTGGTTGCGAACGTTTGGTAAAATAGCAGCAGAAGGCGGAGGCGGACGGCGTTTCGAGAAGCTTGCGTCAGTTGCAAAATAATACTTTCCAAAAACGTTCGTTTCGACCGTTTCCCTGCTTAACTTCCACTATTGATCTAACATGACAATCTGTAAATACCTTCAGGCAGCCATGGTGGTCAGGCATTCCTCAATTGCCTTGTGCACATATCCGACAACATTGGGTCATTCCGAGCACTTCTCGAAACGCTGCAGCCGAACTCTCCACCATAAATGCCATGAATGCAGAAACCGCCTCCAGCCGGTGGCTGATACCTATCGACTGCCTCGATGAGCGTTCTCTGACGAGTGACGAGCTGAACCCGTTGTGGACGGAGTGGTCGCTCGCACGGGGCTCTTACGTCCTCCCGGCACGGGCTGGCAATGAGGGACGACTGTGACTTAGCAAACTTCTGCCGCCCGTGGCCGTTACTGGTGTAGAGTCAGAGTAGAATCATGCCATGTGCGAAATATACTGATGGTGACGATGGTTAGCTGTTTGGAGCCGGGAGAACTGGAGCACTGAGCAGTCAGATGCGGGTGCGGGGTCCTCTGGAGTCTGAATAACCGATCGAAAAAAAATATCAAGAGCCGTTAGCGGTCGAACTCGATAGACGATACCTATAAACGATTGATTACGTTTCAACAGAGTTGAGGCAAGGCTATGCCAGTGGCGCAGCCAGGATTTCATTTCGGGGGGGGGGGGGGTCATCGCCTCCAAAGCGGGCCCCCTGGTGTGCGGGCCCCTCACCCATTTTTCAGAATCTCTCCATATTTCATACACATTCTGCTGAGCGGGCCCCCTTTACCTGCACGATAACCCTGAGCGAGTTTGAATCAGAACATTTGGATAGAACAATAGCTCGGTAATCACTCGGTGTTCAATTTTTACGCAAATTGACCACGACAGAAATATGTTACTATGACGTAAGAATTCGTATCTTTCGAGGCCGAAATGTGCCCCTTCCGCAATATGCATAGCATATATGCAATCGGAACTGTTGCCTGCTTCCAGGTGTCGGACAATATTTAACTAGTCCCATGTGCCTGTTCTAAGTCATCTATTGGCTGCTGTAGTAGATTGTGCCTTTATTCTTCTTCATTACGTGAATTCGCTCACAAGAAGTTTTAACCCTCGCAGCACAACCCTCGCAGCAGGGGGAAGGGTTTGATGCAACCCCCTAAAGTTTTTTTTTTCGCAAATAACTCGCGTAAAAAGGGACTGATCGCGACTTAACTTTCAGACCCTCGCGTTGATCAATTTTACACCTACCCTAGAAATTTCATGACCCTGACCCAAATGAACTAAAGGTCAAATTCCGACCTAAAGGTCGGAAAGTAGGCCAAAGTTGGCCTACTTTCCGAGACCATGTTTGGTCAGAATCGTGGTTCGGCGTATGCCGGCTCGCATTAGCGGCGCGTTTGCAGTCCTTTCGTGGTTTCAAGCGTTCAAACATGTGATTTGATATGTTACTCCCATGCATAAGGGTGGATGTCAATGTCACCTGAAGCCTGAAGGTCAGTTCAGGTCATTGACCTATGAGGACCTCAGTACACTTTTTCAAGCTATGCATGTTTCTAGGCTAGTTTTTGTTTAGCTGAATTCAAATATAGCAACCATATGAAAATTTAAGTAGTTTTGGTGCCTTCGTAGCATGTGACGAAGCTGTCAGAGGCGGTTGACACGTATGTTCTACGAATACCCGTCACGATCCCTACTGGTTGACCTGACCTGACCTGACCTGACCCGACCTGGCCTAAATGCATAAAGACATCATCTGTGATCAAAACTAACATAATGTTCGTGATCAGCACCCCAAAAAGCCCTGTAGCAGCCACAATTTACGACGTTCTAACAGGTCCCGATTTTCCCAACTTTTGGGTCATTGACCTGACCTGGAAGGTCAACCAATGACCTAACCTAGGACCTTCCGCGAAGCTCTACATCTCGATCATGGGCCATACGCGAGGGGGGTCGTAATTGTGCCGTCGAAGGACGCAAAATGGTCTGTGCCGGCGAGGGTTAACGCGCTCACATGAGACATGTATTGCCTTGGGCCGGGTTTGTTGTGGTGTGATGATGTGGTGACGTAGATTATGTATGTTACCGTGGTCCCGGCCAGGCACGTACCCAGGATTTCGCCCAGGAGGGGGCCACCTGCTTCCGAAGGGGCCCTTAGGTCACCCGGGGGCCCCCAGGCCGCCCAGGCGACCAGGGGCCCCCAGGCAACCAGGGGCCCTCAGGGGTCCCAGGCAACCAGGGGCCCCCATGCGACTAGGCTCCCGCTACCAGGGCCCCCTTGGCGACTAGGGGCCCCAGGCGATCAGGGGCCCCATGCGACCAGAGGCCCCCATGCGACCAGGGACCCCAGACTAGACTATGCGACCAGACTAGGCGACTAGGGACCCCAGGCAATCAGGGGCCCCCGTGCGACCAGGCCCCGGCTACCAGGGGCCCCCCTAGGCGACCAGGGGCCAGGAAACTGGGGCCCTTGGATGACTGCAGTAGCCCATCGGGTCATCAGGGGCCCGTCGGGTAACCAGGGACACATAAATGAAACTTTGATATCATTTTTTCTTCCTCGTAAAAGACGTTTTATCCAGTGTTCGAAAAAAATATACCGGGGCCTGAGAGGCCCCCTGAGCGCCTTCGGCGCTCAGGAGGGGGCCATGGCCCCCGTGGCCCCCCCCCCTTGGGTACGTCACTGGTCCCGGCATGGTGTTACTTAGCGCGGGGTAGGTATAGGCTAGAGTGACCGTTGCACCCAGTGCGCTGAAGTTTGCGCAACCGATGGAACAAGGATGGGCAACGTGCCTGTGAGGGTCTCAGCTCAATATGGGCCAAAAATATGCAATGGGCCGGTGGTGAGGACATGGCGCGTGCTCAAAAAGTGTACATTCGCGTCATAGACTTTACATGTATAAATCGGCTTGCAAAATCGGGCGAAAATAGCTTAATTTGCCCGACACGGGTCCGGTACCCGTGCAGTATCTGGGTAACCGTGGGTCCGATCAGCACGGGGAGCACAGTATCGTAAATGATAATCGAACGGGCTATCGAATGGTGTGCGGTGCAGGGATGGCACGTGCCACGTGCACCTGGTAGCGCACTTATGGTTGAAAAATTGACTTTTGGACGGATTTTGGACTTAATGCTATTTTCGGGTGACTGTCAGACGGAGCGGGTTCAAACAATGCCTGTTGTCAAGAGAAACGTACCGCCTCTCATGGAAAAATTGTGAAAAGCTAATTGATCAAAAACAAGGTGGAACAAATCGCTGAAGAAAATCGCATTTGTTCATGACTTACCTACTTAATTACGCGGGTTTTGCTGCATAAACTGGTACGTTTGACAATTGAAAATGGCATAGGTAGTTGAAAAGAGCATTCAATTTTGTCCAATTTCCATTCATCGCTTTTGCATGAAGAGCAACAATATTCTTAAAAATATAAACGTTTCAAACCTCTACATAGTGATTCATCGATGGCCTCAATTTTTCAATAGGTAGCCTACGTCAACCTATGTTACCAGTATAGCGCCTTTTGGGGCGACTAACGGAGCGAGCGAGGGGGTGAGTCTTGCACGTGCGAAATTTCGAAGGGGTACCTCCAACTGACTTGTGCACGGCACCCTACTAACCGGTCTCTAGCGATGTGCCAAATTTGAGCACAATCGGCCCAGCCGTTCTCGAGATCTGGAAGCGGCACCCTGCACGTGCGCACGTGCAAAATGGGTCCCAACTGACTTTTGCACGGCACCCTACCAAACGGTCCCTAACTGTGTACCAAATTTGAGCGCAATCGGTCGAGCCGTTCTCGAGATCTGGAAACGACCCCTGCACGTGCGCACGTGCAGCAGCACCCCAACTCTGGCACATGGATATGTAGTGCCTAGTGGGTGCCTACCTATATGCCAACTTTCAGCGCAATCGGCCAAGTAGTTACCGAAATATTGCAACAATTATAAAACTGACACCTCTTCGTTTTGCACGTGGCACGTGCATAAGGGGTCACCCACATGCATCGGGAATAGTCCAATACTTGGTAGAAGGAATGAATCTACCTTACAAAATTTACCGCATGTAAATCGGTCAAGTGGTTGCTGAGATATAAGCCTCGCAAAAGCGTCCGCACGGCCGGCCGGCCGGCCGGCCGGCCAGCCGCTCATACTCAGAAATTTCCGTTAATCTACGGAAAGACTCCGCTCGCTTCGCTCGCTCCGTAATAAAATATACTTCGCATGTTCTATACCAGTATAACGCCTTTTGGGGCGACTAACGGAGCGAGCGAGAGGGTGGGCCTTGCACGTGCGAACTTGCGAGAAGGTACCTCCAACTGACTTGTGCACGGCACCCTACTAACCGGTCTCTAGCGATGTGCCAAATTTGAGAACAATCGGCCCAGCCGTTCTCGAGATCTGGAAGCGGCACCCTGCACGTGCGCACGTGCAAAATGGGTCCCGACTGAATTTTGCACGGCACCCTACTAACCGGTCCCTAACTGTGTACCAAATTTGAGCGCAATCGGTCGAGCCGTTCTCGAGATCTGGAAACGACCCCTGCACGTGCGCACGTGCAGCAGCACCCCAACTCTGGCACATGTATACGCATTGCCTAGTGGGTGCCTACCTAAATGCCAACTTTCAGCGCAATCGGCCAAGTAGTTACCGAGATATTGTAACAATTACAAAAGTGACACCTCTTTGTTTTGCACGTGGCACGTGCATAAGGGGTCACCCACATGCATCGGGAATAGTCCAATACTTGGTAGAAGGAATGAAGCTACCCTACAAAAATTACCGCGTGTAAATCGGTCGAGTGGTTGCTGAGATATAAGCCTCGCAAAAGCGTCCGCACGGCCGGCCGGCCGGCCGGCCGGCCGGCCGCTCATACTCAGAAATTTCCGTTAATCTAAGGAAAGACTCCGCTCGCTTCGCTCGCTCCGTAATTAGAACGCATGGTTATCAGACACGAGCACCTCGATGCGATGGATATTTTTTCCCAAACCAAAATACTTACTCGTCAAAAGGCAATCGACCGAAATGGATACATAACCCATGGACACAAGACCAACCAAACGCCCACCGATCGAAAATACCCATTATTCGCGTTGCGGAGCAAGCGGGTCACCCTAGGGGGCCCCATTCACCCGAGGGCTCGGGCCCTATCCACACGGGGGCCCGGGCCACGTCCACCTGGTCTCCGGGCCCCATCCACCCGGGGCTCCGGGGCCCGTTCACCAGGGGGCCCGAGCCCCATCCACCCGGGGGTCCGGGCCCCATCCACCCGGGGGTCCGGGCCCCGTCCACCAGGGGGCCCGGGCCCGTTCTCCCAAGGGTCCGGGCCCCATCCATCCGGGGATCCGGGCCCATCCACCCAGGGGCCCGGGCCCGTTCTCCTGGGGGCCCGGGCCCGTTCTCCCGGGGGCCCGGGCCCATCCATTGGGGGTCCCGGGCCCCATCCACCGGGGGTCCCGGGCCCCATCCACCAGGGGCCCCGGACCCGTTCTCCCGGGGGCCCGGGCCCCATCCACCCGGGGCCCGGGCCCGTTCTCCTGGGGGCCCGGGCCCGCTCTCATCCGGGGGCCCGGACCCGTTCTCCCGGGGGTTCGGGCCCCATCCACCTGGAGCCCCAGGCCGACCCCTCACCCGTGGTGTCCCAGTAGGCATTTCTCGAAGCGGGCTCGTCCAATTAGATTAGGACCTCTCTCTCCTCTCTCTCTCTCTCTCTCTCTCCTCTCTCTCTCTCTCTCTCTCTCTCTCTCTCTCTCCCTCTCTCTTTCTTTCTCTCTCTCTCTCTCTCTCTCTCTCTCTCTCTCTCTCTCTCTCTCTTTCTCGAGCGGGCCCCCGACAGAAATTTCGGGGGGGTCAGCTGACCCTCTGACCCCCCCTGGCTGCGCCACTGGGCTATGCCGAGGCTAGAATACGCCATCAATATTTTTCAGCCTTAACGAAATCAATGGCCAGCCAAGGCCCTAATCGAGATGGTCGGGATCAGGGATGGGTTACAAAGTTTTGTGACCCACTTCAGCTTGTAGGAATCATTCAACCGGTAAATTATTCCATGACATTGAATAAAAAAAAATAAACATGACTCATGACTGACTGAGCGATTAAGGGCAATGGAGCTGGTTAACACCATACCCTATACCGTATTCATCAATGTACCAGCTTACCGGAAAAATTAGATACCTATTCCCTATATAAAATAAAGGAGGTCGCGCTGCGCATCGCGGATATCAATCGACCCAGGAAGGTAGTGCATAAGGAAAATAACAGTTCGGATATTTACTAATCACTGCGCAAATTGAAATAAATCACTCACCTTGAAGGTTATTCCATCGACAAGCCCTCTTCTCTTCAAACCAAGCATCGAAGACATCGGGCACGGGGCAGACGACTCCGCATCCGTAACACTAAATTACAAACCAAAACCTAAATTGCTCAGTTCGTGCATCTTTATGCCACGCACTCACGCTCCGATTCCACCTAGCACCTCACGGTGTCTGCTGCAGATCGTCACCATCAAGGCCCTAAAAACGCTTTGGGCCTCGTTTCATAAAGCGAGTCCGTAACTTTCGCCGGTTTTTGGTCTTGTATTGCAAGTGCATGTGAAGCGATGACGATAGTTTGAATCGCTGAATTTCTTTATTTTGCAAGCAAGAACAGAAGGGAGAAGGGGAAATAAATTTATCGCTTCACATGCGCTTGCAATACAAGCCCAAAAACTGCCGTAAAGTACGGACTCGCTTTATGAAACGAGGCCTTGGTCGCCATGTCGCCATTGCCAAGCGAAGCGCCACGTAAATATTCAAGCCACCACGACGTCTGTCAAGACAGCCTCAGATTCAGATTCACTTTCAGAATCACATTCGGACCCCCTTAGATTTTCATAAAAACTGGTCCATAGGTACAGTTTTGGACGCTGATTCCAATGGTGAAGTCTGTTTTTCGCCACATATTATACTTTGGCCCCTAGAGGCATTCAAAGTTTTTTTGGGGCGAAGGGGGACCCCCTTAGATTTTCATAAAAACTGGTCCATGTGTACAGTTTTGGACGCTGATTCCAACGGTGAAGTCTGTTTTTCGCCACATATTATACTTTGGCCCCTAGAGGCATTCAAAGTTTTTTGGGAGAAGGGGGACCCCCTTGGATTTTCATAAAAACTGGTCCATGTGTACAGTTTTGGACGCTGATTCCAATGGTGAAGTCTGTTTTTCGCCACATATTATACTTTGGCCCCTAGAGGCATTCAAAGTTTTTTTGGGGCGAAGGGGGACCCCCTTAGATTTTCATAAAAACTGATCCATGGGTACAGTTTTGGACGCTGATTCCAATGGTGAAGTCTGTTTTTCGCCACATATTATACTTTGGCCCCTAGAGACATTTAAAGTTTTTTTGGGGCGAAGGGGGACCCCTTAGATTTTCATAAAAACTGGTCCATGTGTACAGTTTTGGACGCTGATTCCAACGGTGAAGTCTGTTTTTCGCCACATATTATACTTTGGCCCCTAGAGGCATTCAAAGTTTTTTTTTGGGGGAAGGGGGACCCCCTTAGATTTTCATAAAAACTGGTCCATGTGTACAGTTTTGGACGCTGATTCCCATGGTGAAGTCTGTTTTTCGCCACATATTATACTTTGGCCCCTAGGGCATTCAGATTCACTTTCAGAATCACATTCGGACCCCCTTAGATTTTCATAAAAACTGGTCCATGGGTACAGTTTTGGACGCTGATTCCAATGGTGAAGTCGGTTTTTCGCCACATATTATACTTTTGCCCCTAGAGGCATTCAAAGTTTTTTTGGGGCGAAGGGGGACCCCTTAGATTTTCATAAAAACTGGTCCATGTGTACAGTTTTGGACGCTGATTCCAACGGTGAAGTCTGTTTTTCGCCACATATTATACTTTGGCCCCTAGAGGCATTCAAAGTTTTTTGGGAGAAGGGGGACCCCCTTGGATTTTCATAAAAACTGGTCCATGTGTACAGTTTTGGATGCTGATTCCAATGGTGAAGTCTGTTTTACGCCACATATTATACTTTGGCCCCTAGAGGCATTGAAAGTTTTTTGGGGCGAAGGGGGACCCCCTTAGATTTTCATAAAAACTGGTCCATGGGTACAGTTTTGGACGCTGATTCCAATGGTGAAGTCTGTTTTTCGCCACATATTATACTTTGGCCCCTAGAGACATTTAAAGTTTTTTTGGGGCGAAGGGGGACCCCCTTAGATTTTCATGAAAACTGGTCCATGTGTACAGTTTTGGACGCTGATTCCAACGGTGAAGTCTGTTTTTCGCCACATATTATACTTTGGCCCCTAGAGGCATTCAAAGTTTTTTTTGGGGAAGGGGGACCCCCTTAGATTTTCATAAAAACTGGTCCATGTGTACAGTTTTGGACGCTGATTCCCATGGTGAAGTCTGTTTTTCGCCACATATTATACTTTGGCCCCTAGGGCATTCAGATTCACTTTCAAAATCACATTCGGACCCCCTTAGATTTTCATAAAAACTGGTCCATGGGTACAGTTTTGGACGCTGATTCCAATGGTGAAGTCTGTTTTTCGCCACATATTATACTTTTGCCCCTAGAGGCATTCAAAGTTTTTTTTGGGGCGAAGGGGGACCCCTTAGATTTTCATAAAAACTGGTCCATGTGTACAGTTTTGGACGCTGATTCCAACGGTGAAGTCTGTTTTTCGCCACATATTATACTTTGGCCCCTAGAGGCATTCAAAGTTTTTTTGGGAGAAGGGGGACCCCCTTGGATTTTCATAAAAACTGGTCCATGTGTACAGTTTTGGACGCTGATTCCAATGGTGAAGTCTGTTTTACGCCACATATTATACTTTGGCCCCTAGAGGCATTCAAAGTTTTTTGGGGCGAAGGGGGACCCCCTTAGATTTTCATAAAAACTGGTCCATGGGTACAGTTTTGGACGCTGATTCCAATGGTGAAGTCTGTTTTTCGCCACATATTATACTTTGGCCCCTAGAGGCATTCAAAGTTTTTTGGGGCAAGGGGGACCCCTTAGATTTTCATAAAAACTGGTCCATGTGTACAGTTTTGGACGCTGATTCCAATGAAGAAGTCTGTTTTTCGCCACATATTATATTTTGGCCCCTAGAGGCATTCAAAGTTTTTTGGGGCGAAGGTGGACCCCCTTAGATTTTCATAAAAACTGGTCCATGTGTACAGTTTTGGACGCTGATTCCAATGAAGAAGTCTGTTTTTCGCCACATATTATATTTTGGCCCCTAGAGGCATTCAAAGTTTTTTGGGGCGAAGGTGGACCCCCTTAGATTTTCATAAAAACTGGTCCATGGGTACAGTTTTGGACGCTGATTCCAATGGTGATGTCTGTTTTTCGCCACATATTATACTTTGGCCCCTAGAGACATTCAAAGTTTTTTGGGGCGAAGGGGGACCCCCTTAGATTTTCATAAAAACTGGTCCATGTGTACAGATTTGGACGCTGATTCCAACGGTGAAGTCTGTTTTTCGCCACATATTATACTTTGGCCCCTAGAGGCATTCAAAGTTTTTTGGGGGAAGGGGGACCCCCTTAGATTTTCATAAAAACTGGTCCATGTGTACAGTTTTGGACGCTGATTCCAACGGTGAAGTCTGTTTTTCGCCATATATTATACTTTGGCCCCTAGAGGCATTCAAAGTTTTTTGGGGCGAAGGTGGACCCCCTTAGATTTTCATAAAAACTGGTCCATGTGTACAGTTTTGGACGCTGATTCCAATGAAGAAGTCTGTTTTTCGCCACATATTATATTTTGGCCCCTAGAGGCATTCAAAGTTTTTTGGGGCGAAGGTGGACCCCCTTAGATTTTCATAAAAACTGGTCCATGGGTACAGTTTTGGACGCTGATTCCAATGGTGATGTCTGTTTTTCAGCTGAAAATTTTTTCAGCGGCTCAGCTGACCATTGAGTTCGCACGAGGCGGTAGCGTGCGCGTGCAGCAGGAAGTGGGAATTTGACGCGACAAGCGAGGAGTGGTAGCGAGTGATGCCTTATAATTGTGAATTGTGAATTAAGGTGGATTTCTTAGAATGACGAAATTATTTTTCGTGAATACTTTGTTTAGTTCAGGTTTGTGTGTCGTTTTAGGTACGTCCAAGTCAACCGACAACCATTTTGATTTGCGTGAATAGTCATTTACTGATGGCCAGTTTGAGTGAGTTTTCCGAAGCGGGAAGACTGAACTTTCGGAGCAAGTCGATTTGGGAGATCTGTTTCGACACTGCCACTGGCGAGTACCTCACTCAGACACTCACACTGACTGACTGGCTGCTTCTCATGCATGAGTGACTTGGTGACTTGGTGTCTGGTGAGGTTATTGATATCACTCTGATCAGGGCGTATTTTAAGGGATTTTCACTGGGTCGGCAATCACAATTAGGGGCGGCATTTTGCACTCATAGGGGCGGCACTTGGCATCTGAGGGGGCGGCATACCTACTGATATTTAATGACCAAAAAAGACACGTTAGACGGTTCTTTTATAACTCTTCCTAAGTAATGATTTCAGATTAAACCTAAGCTCAGCGGTATTACGTTTATTTTTCCGGGATATAGTATTTCTCTCATCATAATGCGATAAATGAACTTTTGACTTACCAAAAAATAATTTTAAAATTTTACCTGAGGTAAACATGTTACATACCAGTCGATTCGTGTCGTCAAGCTTAAAATATTCACGGCGTTTCATGACTCTATCTAGAACAGTGGTCGGCAGGTCGCACGAGTGTGCCCACTTTATGGGCGCTGGACGGGGCCATTACCCCCACTTGTCATACCCCATTGCTTACACAGCAAGGGTCGCTGATATTCGGTCATATCCTTTGACGCCTCTATTTTCTGCATAGGTATAAATAAAATGCAACACAATTAACTCTCTTTTTTATGGAGAGGGAGAGCGGGTGGAATAAGGATTAACTCATACATTTTTTATTTATTAGTTACTCGCGTAATGAACAGCGTATTGCAACGATACGTTCATCCCTCCCCCCCCCAAGTTAATGAATGTTATACCTACCTACTCAAACATTTTCGTGACCCCAGTGACATTGTCATTGAGTTTTTGAAATTTGAATGACCTTCACTCGGTAACTTTCTCTCCGGCTCGGCCGGCGGACAAAACGCAAGCGAAGACAATGCGGGGAGTCCGGTGCTCTACCAACTGAGCCACGGAACAGGCAAATGCTCACCATAGATATACCGACTGAACGATCCCTTTATAACTTCAGCGATTGATAAGACAAACAGTGTGTAACTGTATATACGGGTATAACCCTCGCCGGCACAGGCCATTTTGAGTCCTTCGACGGCACAAGGGGGTTGGTACGACCCCCCCCCCCTCGCGTTTGGCCCCTGATGGAGCTAGAGCTTCGCAAAAAAAAACGAGCGTGTTGCCCGTCACGAGAGGAAGCCAATGATACCCAATTTCAAGGTCCTAGGTCATCGGTTGACCTTCCAGGTCAGGTCAATGACCCAAAAATCGGGAATATCGGGACCTGTTTGAAAGTCGTAAATTGTGGCTGCTAAAGGGGATTTCCGGGGTGCTGATCACAAATATCGTGTTAGTTTTGATTACAGATGATGTCGTTAAGCGTTTAGACCAGGTCAGGTCAACCGGTAGGGGTCGTGACGGGTATTCGTAGTAACTGTCATCCGCCTCTGACAGCTTCGTAGCATGTTACGAAGGCACCAAAACTACTTCGTAAATGTTTAAATGGTTGCTAAATTCGAATTCAGTTCCAAAAACTAGCCTAGAAACATGTAAAACTT